GATGATGTTACCTAGCTGGGTAATGGGACGTCTACAAGCAAACAGCCAACCTCAGAGAGCATCAAGAACTCCACAGTTCAACCCTGAGCTACCAATATTCTCTTCTATTGGAATGGGTCTAATTCTTTTTCCACGGGAGGCCCCAGGAAGCCCACTAGCATGGAAGCATCAACAGCACCATGGTCACGAATCCCAAAAGCTGGAGTTAAAAATACTGCCTTGAATCACCCACACTTTGTTCATTCCTGCCTTAATAAATTTACTTAAACTGGAAGTTATTGCTTATGGAAGCAGGAAACAATGTTCCATTGTGTTCTTGGAAAATCACCTCAAATGGCAATGACTGCTGTAAGTTAGTTACGCATCCTGTTCCTTTCATTGTGTTTCAACCTCCCAATTTGTTTTCCTGAATGGTTCTAACTTCTTTTTAAAAAATCCCTCTCATTCCACACACTATACAGGTAGTCCTTGCTTAATAACTGCCCTGTTTAGTGACTGCTTAAAGTTACGATGGTGCTAAAAATATAAGTATACAACTGGTTCTCGCACTTATGACTGTTGCAGCATCCCCACGGTCACGTGATCGAGATTTGGGCACTTTGCAACTGGCAGGCATATACAATGGTTGCAGCATCCTACGGTCACATGACTGCCATTTGCACTCTTCCAACAAGCAGAGTCGATGGAGAAGCTGGCAGTAAGCTGCAAATTGTGGTCAGGTGATGTCTCGCTTAATGACCGTGGGTGATTCACTTAACGATGGAAGTGGAAGTGAGGTCGCAAGCCCATCATGGTCATGTGGTGTTTCCCTTAGTGACCATGTGTGTTGCTTAGCTATGTAGTTGCCAGTCCCAATTGTAGTTGCTAAGCGAGGACTACCTGTACATTCTAGAACCCCTGTCACATCACTCCTTTATGTCCTCACTTTTTCCTTTTCACAATTGAACATATAAAAGAGGGGGGGCTTTTATTGCGAACAAGGCACCTGCCATCTTGCCTGCTGCAGATGCTGCTGGTCACTGATCACCCTGGCTAGGCCTGATGGAAGTTGTAGTCCCAATTATCTATTAGATAGCAACTTGCCTGTCCCTGCTACAACTCACCCTAGTTTTTTTTTTCTTTCTGCTTTTGCTTGTTCCCTTGTCTTTTTTGTTTTCAGCTTGATAATATGAATCTGGATGGATTGGGAGGAAGCAATGGCTCATGTTTTCATCTTCCTTTAAGGCTTTATTAATTGCTGTTTTCTTTTTAGCTGTTTCTGCATCAATGCCTTCCTAGGCAATGATGACCCTGGGCTGAAACAAAGCACAGATCTCCGGCAAATCTTACCTCGGTGCGGTATGTGAGCTGTCTGTGGTATGCTAGCTAGCTGATCAGCAAAAGTGCAGCCATTACAGTCACACAGTGATATAGTAATAGCCCCTATTATTGATTTTCTTTCCCCAACTGCATAGCTGTTTTCTTGCAATCATTCTCCTTCTTTTTACTCAGGTGCAATTTAGCTGAAAAAGAACACTGAATAGCAGAGTGCTGAGGAGGTTTATTTCACAAATTACCCATAATAGTAAAATGCCTGACCTGTTTCATCTCACTTTGCCAGACGAAAATGGAAGGGCTGTCTGGAGAACAGAGAGAATTTTGACCCAATTCAGAATTAAAAGCTTAATCACAGAAATATCCAAGTATCTGTCTATTTATCATCTCTATCTACCTATCTATCTATTGGTCATCTATCAACCAAATCAGTCAGGTCCAAATCATCTCCGTATGATATACTTCTAAGTG